TGAGTCAGGCAGAACCTGAATGACACAAGTCAGAGAGTAAGAGTAAGGATGAGACGTCAGAATGGCAGAGAGTAACAAGTGGGGTTCCTCAAGGATCAGTGTTAGGACCGTTACTGTGTGAACGACCTACCAGAGGGAACTAGTCCTGTGTGTTGATGTTTGCCCATGATGCACAAATATTTGTTAATATTAATATAACTGTGTATGGGAATTGTGGTTGTGTGTACCTGTGCAAGAAGCCACAGATGTGAATTGAAGATGTGGAGATGGAAGGAGGGTAGAACTGGTTTTTTTTCCCTTGACTAGAGTGGTTGATTGTGCTGAAGGAGGAATTAAGAGAGTGGTGGAACCAGTGGAAAGTTGAGTAATTGTGTGTTGGGGTATTGAAGACGACATGGGGCAGGGAGAGAGAGGACCTAGTAGCAATCAGCGAAGAGGCGGGGCCAGGAGCTGTGAATCGACCCCTGCAACCACAAATAGGTGAGTACAAATAGGTGAGTACACACACACACACACACAGGGATGTTGGGAAGTGTTTCTTAAGTCATAGAGTTGTCAGGAAGTGGAACAATCTGGAGAGTGATGTAGCAGAGGCAGGATCCATACATAGCTTTAAGAAGAGGTATGATAAAGCTCATGGAGCAGGGAGAGAGTGGACTGAGTAGCGACCATTGAAGAGGCGGGGCCAGGAGCTATGACCCGACCTCTGCAGCCACAATAGGTGAGTGCACACACACACACACACACACACACACACACACACACACACACACACACGGGCATGCCATGTGTACACCAGGAACACATACATGGGCACAGGGAGTGGGGCAGTGTTGCCAGATACCACCAAGGTCATACCCACCTCTCAGTGTATAATACCACAACACACATACATACACACACACACACACACATTTCACATACCCTGTTTTAGCTCTTAAAACATTGTTTACGTCAGCTTACGGGGAAATATTGACCTTAATGACGTTATTGCCGTTGTAAAACATTAGATATAAGGAAAATAAGTAGCCAAGGTCACCTAAGACAGTGTTGCCAGCGGGAGAGCATTCCATTCTCCTTTAACATTTCTTGTAGAATCGCATCGTCTTAAGACAAAAACAAGACGTTTTCTTTAATTAGGAGATTTCTTTCTTCAGTGTTTTGTTGTTTGTTTGTTGTTTGTGTGTGTTTGTTTTGGTGTATTTTATGTGTGTTTTTGTGTGTTCGTGTGTATGTTTGTTTGTGTTTTGTGTACCTATTTGTGGTTGCAGGGGCCGATTCATAGCTCCTGGCCCCGCCTCTTCACTGGTCGCTACTAGGTCCATTCTCTCCCTGCTCCTTGAGCCTTATCATACCTCTTCTTAAAGCTGTGTATGGATCCTGCCTCCACTACATCACTCTCCAGATTATTCCACTTACTGACAACTCAGTGACTGAAGAAATACTTCCTAACATCCCTTAACTCATCTGAGTTTTCAACTCCCATTTGTGATAACTTGTTCCTGTGTCCCATCTCTGGAACATCTTGTCCCCATCCACCTCGTCAATTCCTCGGAGTATTCTGTACGTCCTTATCATGTCCCACCAATCCCTCTTGTCCTCCAGTGTCGTTAAGTTGATATTCCTTAACCTCTCCTCGTAGGATATGCCTTAGCTCGGGACTAATCTTGTAAACTTTTGCACTTTCTCAAATTTCTTGACGTGTTTGACCAAGTGAGGGTTCCATAATGGTGCTGCATACTCCAATATGGGTCTGACATCACGGTGTATAGTGTCGTGAATGTCTCCTTGCTTAGATGTCGAAATGATATTCTTAGGTTTGCCAGGCGTCCATATGCTGCAGCAGTTATTTGGTTGATGTGCGCCTCAGGAGATGTGCTCGGTAAGATGCTCACCCCAGCAACCTTATCCTCGAGTGAGTTTTGCAGACCAGGCTAACAACAGTGCTACCTGGTGGTGAAGACCAGGTTAACAACAGTGCTACCTGGTGGTGAAGACCAGGTTAACAACAGTGCTACCTGGTGGTGAAGACCAGGTTAACAACAGTGCTACCTGGTGGTGAAGACCAGGTTAACAACAGTGCTACCTGGTGGTGAAGACCAGGTTAACAACAGTGCTACCTGGTGGTGAAGACCAGGTTAACAACAGTGCTACCTGGTGGTGAAGACCAGGTTAACAACAGTGCTACCTGGTGGTGAAGACCAGGTTAACAACAGTGCTACCTGGTGGTGAAGACCAGGTTAACAACAGTGCTACCTGGTGGTGAAGACCAGGTTAACAACAGTGCTACCTGGTGGTGAAGACCAGGTTAACAACAGTGCTACCTGGTGGTGAAGACCAGGTTAACAACAGTGCTACCTGGTGGTGAAGACCAGGTTAACAACAGTGCTACCTGGTTGAGCATGTGGTTGACCAGGTAATCAACAGGCTGGATAGCAAGGATTTAAAACGGCAATAAACAGGATAGGAAGGCAAACAGTAGAGCTTACTTGCAATAACTAGGTACTTCTAGGTACCTATTTACTAGACGGAGAGAGAGAGAGAGAGAGAGAGAGAGAGAGGGCGTTTTGGCGTGTGTGTGCTTACGTATATGTGGTTTCAGGGGTCGATTCACAGCTCCTGGCCCCGCCTCTTCACTAACCGCTACTGGATCCTCTCTCTCCCTGCTCCATGAGCTTTATCATACATCGTCTTAAAATTATGGATGGTTTCTGCCTCCACTACACCACTTGCCAGACTGTTCCACTGCCTGACTACTCTATGACTGAAGAAATACTAACAAACTTCCCTTTGACTCATCTGAGTCTTCAACTTCCAATTGTGACCTCTTGTTTCTGTGTCCCATCTCTGGAACATCTTGTCTTTGTCCACCATGTCAATTCCTCGCAGTATTTTATATGTCATTATCATGTCTCCCCTGGCCCTCCTGTCCTCCAGTATCGTCAAGCCGATTTTCCTGAACCTGTTTTTCGTACGACATTCTCCTTAGCTCCGTGAGTAGTCCTGTTGCAAACCTTTGCACTTTCTTTAATTTCTTGACGTGCTTGACTAGGTGTGGGTTTCTAACTGGTGCTGCGTACTCCAGTATGGGCCTAACTTACACGGTGTACATAGTCTTGGAGGATTCCTTGCTAAGGTATCGGAATGCTATTCTTAGGTTTGCCAGGCGCCCGTATGCTGCAGCAGTTATCTAGTTGATGTGCGCCTCAGGAGATGTGCTCGGTATTATACTCACCCCATGAGCGCTTTCCTTGAGTGAGGTTTGCAGTCTTTGGCCACCTAGTCTATACTCTGTCTGCGGTCTTCTTTGCCTTTCCCCAATCTTCATGACTTTGCATTTGGCAGGGTTAAATTCAAGGAGCCAGTTGCTGGACCAGGCTTGTAGCCTGTCCGGGTCTCTTTGTAGTCCTGCCTGATCCTCATTCGATTTAATTTTCCTCATTAATTTCACATAATCTGCAAACAAGGACACTTTTGAGTCTGTCCCTTCCGTCATGTCATTCACATATACCAAAAACAGTATTGGTCCTAGGACTTATCCCCGCGGAACCCCGCTCGTCACAGGCGCCCACTCTGGCACCTCGTCACGTACTATGATTCATTGTTGCCTCCCTGTCAGGTATTCTCTTGATTCATTGCAGTGCCTTTCATGTTATGCATGTCTGATCCTTTAGCTTTTGCACAAAGTTCTTATGAGGAACTGTGTCGAAGGCCTTCTTGCAGTCCAGGAAGATGCAATCTACCCACCACTCTCTCTTGTATCGTCTGTTACCTTTTCATAAAACTCCAGTTGGTTTGTGACACAGGATTTCCCCTCCCTGAAATCATGCTGGTTGTCGTTTATGAGCTTGTTCCATTCTAAGTGTCCACCACTCTCCTCCTGATAATCTTTTCTATGATTTTACATACTTTACACGTCAGTGACACTTGTCTGTAGTTTAATGCCTCGTGTCTGTCTCTTTTCTTAAAATTTGGGACTACATTTGCTACCTTCCATACCTCAGGTAGTTACCCAGTTTCAGTGGATGTGTTGAAGATTTTTGTTAGTGGCACACACAGCATCTCTGCTCCCTCTCTAAGGACCCACGGAGAGCTGTTGTCTGGTCCCACTGCCTTTGAGGTATCAAGTTCACTTAGCAGCTTCTTCACCTCCTCCTCGGTTGTGTATTTCATCCAGCACTTGTTGGTGTACCTCCCTATTCTGACTTCCTGGAGTCCTTCCTGTCTCTACTGTGAATACTTAAGTTTATTCAAGTATACACAAATACAGTTACATAGATTATCATACATAGCAGCATATGTGTAGAGAACCTGGGATAACCCAAAAAAGTCAGAGTGACTTATTTCCATTGGGGTCCTTTAAATCTCATGTTGAGCTCTGCACGTACATCTTGGTCGTTTCTTGTGAACTTCCCACCTTCCTTCTTCAGCCTGATTACCTGGTCCTTAACTGTTGCCTTCCTCCTAATGTGGCTATACAACAATTTCGGGTCAGACGTGATTTACGATGCTATGTCATTTTCGTACTGTCGCTGGGCCTCCCTCCTTATCTGTGCATACTCGTTCCTGGTTCTTCGACTAATCTCTTTATTTTCCTGGGTCCTTTGTCTTCTGTACTTTTTCCATTCTCTAGTGCGACTAATTTTGCCTCCCTATGTGTGTGTGTGTGTACTCACCTAGTTGTGGTTGCATAGGTCAAGTCATAGTGTGTGTGTGTTTTCATTTGTCAAAAGCACTTGGCAGTAGACACTTGACCTATTTTGTATATATTTATGTGTGTGTACACTTACCTAATTGCATCTCCTTAGTTCGAATCATAGCACTTCACTCAAATTCCTTCACTACTAGCAGCCTACTTTCCAAATGCCTCTTCTAGACCTATCGTACCTGCACGTGAAGCTGTGTGTACCTGACATTGCTACCCCAGGGACAAAGCTCAAACTCCTGGCCCCAAAAGTGGCTTAGTGCTTTCTTTAGATTTAAAATATTCTTTCTTTCAGATGTGATTGATGGTATGGGAGCATCGCATGAAGGCACAGTTCCTATGGTGGCTGACAACACATCACCTGAGAAAGGCATGACGACTCTAGAGAGGGTAAGTACACGAATATTGTGGGTGATTAAGATACATGTGCAACAGTTGCGTACAGCAGGGTCCCACTTATACAGCAGATTAGGTTCCAGGCTACTGTTGGGTCCCACTTATACAACAGGTTAGGTTCTGGGCTACTGTAGGGCCCCACTTACACAGCAGGTTAGGTTCTGGGCTACTGTAGGGGCTCTCTTATACAGCAGGTTAGGTTCTGGGCTACTGTAGAACCCTGCTTATACAGAAGGTTAGGTTCTGGGCTTCTGTAGGGCCCTGCTTATACAGCAGGTTAGGGTCTGGGCTGCTGTAGGGCCCCTCTTATACAGCAGGTTAGGTTGTGGGCTACTGTAGGGTCCTGCTTGTACAACAGGTTAGGTTCCGGGTTACTGTAGGGCCCTGCTTATACACCAGGTTAGGTTCTGGGCTACTGTAGGGCCTGCTTAAACAGCATGTTGGTTCTGGGCTTACTGTAGGGGCCAGGCTTAGACAGCAATGAGTTTTGGATTCTGGGATACTGTTGGGCCTGCTTATACAGCAGGTTAGGTTCCAGTACTGTTGGGCCCCACCTTTTACAAGGCAGGTTAGGTTGTGGGCTAAAGTAGGGCCATTCTTATCAACATGGTTAGGCTTCTGGGCTACTGTTAGGGCCCCACTTATAAAGCAGGTTTAGGTCTGGCTACTTGTAGGGGCCTGGCTTATACAGAGGGTTAAGGTTTTGGGATACTGTAGGGACTCTGCTTATACAGCAGCCGTTAAATTTTGGGGCTACTGTAGGACCATGATTATACAGCAGGTTAGGTATGGGTTCTGTAGGGCCCTGCTTATACAGCAGGTTAGATAGTTAGAGTAGGGGTGCATGGATGGTGCCCATCTTATACAGCAGGTTAGGTTTGTGGGCTACTGTAGGGTTTCCTTGCTTATACAAAAAGGTTAGGTTATGGGTTACTGTAGGACCCTGCCTATACTAGAAAGTTAGGTTCTGGTGGGGCTTCTGTAGGGCACCTGCTTATCAACAGCAAGGTTAGGTCTGGGACTGCTGTAGGGCCCCTCTTATACTTGAAGGTTTGGTTGTGGGCTACTGTTTAGGGTCCTGCTTATAAACAGGTAGGCTCCGGGGTACTGTAGGACCCTGCTTACTCCAGCAGGTTACGGGTTCTGGGCTAATGTAAGGGCCCCTTCTTATCAGCAGGTTAGGTGTCTGGGTTTACTGGAGGGACCGCATGCTTATACTAGCAGGTTAGTGTTTCGGGCTACTGTATGGGCAACTGCTTATACAGAAGGGTAGGTCCATCTGCGGCTTTTGTACATGTAGGGCCATGAATTTATACGCAGGTTAGGTTCTGGGCTCACCTGTAGGGCCCCTGCTTATACAGAAGGTTAGGTTCCAGGATACTGTAGGGCCCCTTTTTGACTGCAGTTAGGTTTGGGGGCTACTGCAGGGACCTTCTTATACAACTGGTTAGGCTACTGGGTCCCACTTACCTGGTTGGGGCCCAGCTTGATACAGTAGGTTAGGTTCGGGGCTACTGTTGGGCCCCACTTATTAAGAAGGTTAGGTTTGCGGCTACTGGTTGGGCCCACACTTAGAATGCAGGTTTAAGTTGTGGGCTACTGTTGGAGCCCACTCGTAAACAGCAGGTTAGGTACTGGGCTACTGGTAGGGACCCCCCCTATTATACAGTAGGTTAGGTTCTGGGATACTGTAGGGCACCCCAACTTATCTAGAAGGCTGGTTAGGTCTGGTACTGTTCAGGGGCACCACCTTACTAAAGCTGGTTAGGTTCATGGGACTACATGTAGGGCCACACTTACTACAGTAGGTTAGGTTCTGCGGCTACTGTTGGGCCCCAACTTATACAGCAGGTGAGGTTCTGGGCTACGTGTAGGGCCTCACTTATACAGAAGGTTAGGTTCTGGGTAATGTAGCGTCCCTCTTATAAAGAAGGTTAGGTTCTGCGGCTACTGTAGCGGCCATCCACCCTATACAGCTGGTTAGGTTGTGGGCTTTGTAGGGCCCCAATTATTCTGCAGGTTTGGTTTATGGGCTACTGTAGGCCCCACTTATCTATACTCAGCAGGTTAGGTTCTGGGGGCTCACTGTAGGGCTCCCTCTTATTCAGCTGGGTTCGGTTTGGCGCTTCTGTAGGGCCACCACTTATACCAGAAGGTTAGGTTCTGGGCTACGGTAGGGCTCCCACTTATACAGCTGGTTAGGTTAGTGGTTAATGTAGGGCCCCACTTATACAGCAGGTGTTCGGTTTTGGGCAACTGTGGGCCAACACTTATACGCAGTTTACGGTTTTAGGGTAATGTTGGGTCAACTTATAGAGCAGGTTAGGTTATGGGGTAAGTTGGGTAGAAGGCCCCACTTATACAGCTGGTTAGGGTTCTGGGCTACTGTAGGGCCCACTTATACCAGCAGGTTAGGTTCTGGGCTACTGTGGGCCCCACTTATCTGCTGGTTAGGCTTTCTGGGCTACTGTAGGGCCCACACACATTCTTCAGCTGGCTTCGGTTCGGGGCTACTGTAGCGCCCACTTATACAGCAGGTTAGGTTTCTGGGGCTACTGTAGGGCCCACTTATCAGCAGATTAGGTTCTGGGCTTAATGTAGGGCCCACTTATACAGAAGGTTAGGATCTGGGCTAATGTAGGGCCCACACTTATAATGCAGGTTTTAGGTTCCTGGGCATTACTGTAGGGCCCTCCACTCACTTTATACAGCACGCGTTAGGTTCTGGGGATACTGTAGGGCATATCACTTATACTGCCAGGTTTAGGTTCTGGGCTACTGTAGGACTATCTTATACAAGCAGGTTATGTTCTGGGCTACAGTAGGGGCCCCAATTATACTGCAGGTTAGGTTATGGGCTGACTTGTAGGGCCCAAATTATTCAAGCAGGTTAGGTTCTGGGCTATGTTGGGCCCACACTTATAAAGCAGGTTAGGTTCTGGGCTTCTGTAGGGACTCACGATACAGCAGAGTTAGGTTCTGGGATATGTAGGCCATCACGTATTACAGCAGGTTAGGTTCTGGTCTAACTGTAGGGCCAAACTTATATCTGGCAGGTTTGGTTCTGGGCTACTGTAGGGCCCCCACTTATACAACCAGGTTAGGTTCTGGGTACCTGTAGGTAGAGCCCCACTTATACAGCAAGGTTAGGTTACTGGGGCTACTGTACGCACACTTATTACTGACGGTAGGTTCTGGGCTCTGTAGGGCCCCACCCTCTTATACAGCAGGTTTGGGTCTGGGCACAGTAGGCCACCACTTATACGCTGGGTTAGGTTCTGGGAATACTGTAGGGCCTCACTTATAAGCAGGTTAGGTTTCTGGGCTTACTGTAGGGACTCAATATTCAGCAGGGGTTAGGTTATGGGGCCTTATGTTAGGGCCTCACTTATAAAGCAGGTTAGGTTGGGCACTGTAGTACCAGGCCTCATCTTATACAGCAGGTTAGGTTTCTGGGTAATGTAGGGGATCCCTCTTATACAGAGGTTAGGTTTGGGCTACTGTAGGGCCCCAACTTATAAAGCCAGGTTAGGTATTTCTGGGCTACTGTAGGCCCCCACATATTTACAGCAGGGTTAGGTTCTGGGCTTAATGTAGGGCCCCATTATTACAGCAGGTATTGTTCTGGGTACTTGTAGTGCCTCCACTTATTACAGCAGGTTAGGTTCCTGGGAACTACTGTAGGGGCCCCACTTATACTGCAGGTTAGCGTTCTGGGCTACTGTAGGGCCCCAATTGGACAGCTGGTTAGGTTCTGGGGACTACTGTAGGAGCCACCACTTATAATGCAGGTTAGTTCTGGGCTACTGTAGGCCCCACTTATACAGCAGGTTAGGTCTTATGGGATATGAAGGGCCTCACTTATTAGAGCAGGTTAGTTCTGGGCTACTGTAGGGACCCACTTTACGCAGGTTAGGTTTCTGGGCTACGGTAGGGGCACAACTTATAAAGCTAAGGTTAGGTTCTGGGTTACTGTAGGGAACCATTATACAGCATGTTAGGTTTGGCTACTGTTGCGGATCTCACTTATACAGCGGTTAGGTTTCTGGGGTACTAGTAGCGGCCCCACCTATACAGCAAGGTTAGGTTCTGGGCTAATGTAGGGCTCCTCTTTTACAGAAGGTTATGTTCTGCGGCTATGTAGGGCCCCACTTATCAGCAGGTTGGTACTTGGGCTACTGTGGGCCCCACTTATCAAAAGCATGGTTAGGTTCTGGGCTATTGTAGGGGGCCCCCAAATTATACAGCAAGGTTCAGGGTTTTCTGAGTGCTACTGTAGGGCCCCCTCTTATACAGCAGGGTTAGGTTTCTGGGCTACTGTAGGGCCACTTATACTGACAGGTTAAGGTTATGGGCTACTGTTGGGCCCCACGTATACAGCAGGTTTGGTTCGGGGCTACTGTAAGCGGCCCCACTTATACAGCAGGTTAGGTTCTGGGCTACTGTAGGCCCCTCCACTTCACTTCTGCAGGTTAGGTTCTGGGCTACTGGAGGGCCCTCCACTTATACACAGCAGGTTAGGTTCTGAGGATACTATAGGGCCCCACTTATACAGCAGGTTAGGTTTGGGTACTGTAGGGCCTCACACTTATCAGAAGGTTAGGTTCTGGGATACTGTAGGGGCCCCTATCTATTTCATGAAGGTTAGGTTCTGGGCTATGTAGGGCCCCACTTATACAGCAGGTTAGGTTCTGGGGGCTATGTAGGGCCCCACTTATACAGATGGTTATTCTGGGCTTACTGTAGGGCCCCACTTATACAGCAGTGTAGGTTTCTGGGCTACTGTAGGGCCTCCACTTACTACAGCTGCGTTAGGTTCTGGGGCTAATGTTCGGGCCCACTTTTACAGCAGGTTAGGTTACCTGGGCTACCTGTAGGGCCAACTTATACAGCAGGTTATGGTTCTGGGCTATGTAGGGCCCCACTTATGTCAGCTCAGGTTAGGTTCTGGGATTCTGTAGGGCTCCACTTATACAGCAGTGGGGTAGGTTTCT